AAAAAAAAAAAAAAAAAAAAAAAAAAAAAAAAAAAAAAAAAAAAAAAAAAAAAAAAAAAAAAAAAAAAAAAAAACAAGAAGAAAAACAGAAGCAAATTGCAAGAGAAATGCCGAACCGAGTAACCAAAAGCATTAGATATGGAGAGCCTCATTGGCACAACCGGCTCGACCTGAAACCTCCCAACGGGGTACCAACGGGGCCGTAATAACCGGCCCAATATCAATACAATCACCTAAATCACCTAAAGTTCTCGATAGACTTCGTCAAGATTGACCTGACTCACGAGCACTGATTATCTTCTGTGGCTGAAATTTGAGATTCTGTCAAGACCACGCGGCGGACCATGCACCGAAAGCAGATTGTACACAGAATTGGGGATGGTGTCGACCATGGCTCGGTAGATGTCTGCGAGGCCCTCAACTCCACCGGAAACGCCTTGAAATCTCCACCGTGGATATGAAACACTTTGGGTCGCAGGTGTGCAAAAGAGTAAAATACCTCAAGGTACTTGTAAATGGGTAAAATGGGTCAACCGTCGATAACCTACGTATTGTGGGTCCAAAATGAACCGAGGCAATGAGATCTGCCGAATCTGAGTCTTGTTTTTACCTTTTTATCACTCTTAAGATACTACTTAGTACATTATCTTTGGAGGGGACTTGAAGGCCTGTATCCCCCTCATTGAGTACTATTCGATACTAACTACATCTGCGTACACATACTTAAGTACTTAAGTAATGTAGATACTCCGAGGTATACAGTAAATGGCGTCACAGCATCTCCGAACCAATCACAGTCCGAATAAATTGCGTATAGTGGATCTAACCTCGGAAGCCACAGCATGCACAAGCCAATTACCTGCCCTTGATGCGAAGACGAGTTCCGGTCGATACATACAAGTACAGCAGATTACAGACTGGATCGCACGGTTTTTTCTCCAGTTGAACGTGGAGCACAAGCAAGATGGGTCTCGGAGGAGAAAACTCGGAGCCGTTAATTGCGATCCCGAATCATATCACACAGATACTTGGCCCTACGGCCGAAACGGTGACGATCGTTACGTAGGAGTATACTTTCAAACTTTGAATGCTCCCAATGCTACGCAACTACGCAATTGTATGTAACTACGAGTAGATCTGGATGATCTGGATCGAGAACTTCTCAAGTTTACTCGTAGAACGCCTTCTCATCTTACTCTTGACTCTGTAAGTAATACCTGCGTACTCGTACACATCTGCGGGGAGATCGAGGATCGAATCATTCCGAGACGCAACTTTAATTGCCCCCAGCCCTTGTCATCTCGTTTAATCTATACATCCTAGACACATCATACGGTGCCTACAGGTACATGCCTACTGTACACTACTTGTACTCCGTAATAGCCTAACTACTCGTAACTTGCCTACTCGTATACTGCGTATACAATATAGAGGAGAGGATGACGCAAGCCGATCTCTTGGCTCTTTTCCCCGTCTTTGACGCGAAACAGAAGAATGGGCCGAGCCCTGCCTAAACTTTGTAGCCTATCAGAAGGCAAATCCCAATTGAAAACAAACTTGCCTAGTATACGAGTAGCCTCCAGTAGATCAACTACAATTATACGTACGAGTACGGGTACGGAGTACTATTCAGGTATACTCGTACGAGGATAACCATGGTCTGACATGTTTTGTCCCAATATAGACCATCTTGCGAATCACGTGTGTCTTAGCTATTCGCACGAGTATCAAGCGTTGAGCTTCGTCTCCACAAACTCGCGGAAATACGACATCCTATCCGATCTCAGGTGCATTGGCCAGTGTCTTGGAACTAGTTGATATACACTTCCGGGAATGTCCCACATACGCCTGCACCACTTAACGATCCATGCGTGGTTTTTTTTAAAAAAAAAAGTACATTTTTGCTCTATTTTTCTGTCTCTGGGCTATTTTTTTCGGGTTAGACAACCTTCTAACCGACTTCTTCCTTGGGCGTTCTGGAACAACGAGGCTATTGGAGTTAGTCTTTTGTGTCTTTGCATCGCCACGAACTGCTAAAAACAAATCATATCCACGCGAAGGATTCGTTTCAGTGAGGGGCCAAAAAAAAGAGTCCACTTCAGCGACTAACAGTTGCTAAACTATCCTCCCTCCTATTTTGTTTTTTGATCCTTTTGTCTTTGACCTTCAAAATTACTAGCACGGCCCCCTAGTCTATGTGATCGGGACACAAAGTGGTAGGTGAAACATGGTTGCGACGCTACCAAGTCTATGCCACTTGTAATAATTAACAGGGTCAAAAAGAACATTCTGGATGAACGGAGTAATATCCATGAGACAACTTTGCCCTCTTAACCCTCTAAACTACTGCAGGAACACTTTCCAGGGTTGCCCGTTATTGCTTTTTGTATTAGAGTTGCCGATCACTTCTGGTCCCCCAGTATTCCGTAACTACTCGTAACTAATGTACTCCGTTGACCAGGGCTTAACAAAAAAAAAATTTGATATGAGGTTCTGCCCTGATCCGCGGGGATCCGCTCTCCTGGATACACACCGTGCGGGCGAAGATTCATCGCCGTGACTAGTGGCCGCTAGATAACCCGCTTTCCCGTTCGTTCGGACAATCCGGGCTCGGATCGAAAGAAGTCGCCGTGCCGCGATGATCCAGACGGGTGTTTTGCTTGGGATTGATCGGCATATTGCCCGATTTGGTATGTCCTTGAAATCATGAAGCATATCTTCCAACCGAGATGCCCCTGAAAAAAAAAAAATGAGGGGTTGCAAAAAAGGAATAGGGGAATGGAACAGGCTGGCTTCAATGTCGCAAGAAGGACCCATAACGACGGGGAAAAAAGGATGGGAACAACTCGAAAACAGAATTGAACAGTCAGATTCGGAATTATCTTGCTGATCTTTTCATGGCGGCAAAAGGACGTCAGACCATGCAAGTGCACGGATGTAGTAATTGCGCTCCCAGCTTTTTTTTTTTTCCTTTGCACTGGCGCTGTGATATTGATGCATGAAATCCTGCAAGCTGTCTGAGCAAATTGGTGGCGGACTGCGGCGTCACCGCGCCAGATAAAACCAGCCCATTGGGGAATTTCCTCCGAACCAAAGGAGGTCCAAGCCATGGACTATCGAACGTGTATTTTCCACAAACCACGGTGTGTCTTTAGGCAGGGGTCTCTGAAGGGGCGCTAGAGGCGGCAAGGTCCTCGTTCTTCTCCACGCTCGGGTCTTGTGGTTCTTCAGTGGTGGCGTCTTTGTTATCTTGCATCTCTTGGTCCTCCTCCAGAGCCTGGGGAACGCCTGGGGCAGTTGCGCTTTGATTACTTTCGGGCTCCTGAGCAGAATCTTTGTTCTCGACAGACTCTTGAGCTTCAGCTCGTTCGTTGGACTCGGCTTTTTGAGAGTTGTCGACAGAGTCGTGGTTTTCTTCATTCTTTTTAGTGGGGTCTGGCAGATCCTGGACTCCATCTAACGACTGAGGAAGGTCCTTGGGATCACCCGTGTTGCGTTCGGATTCTTGGTTCGTCGTAGGGGCTGCGAACAAAATTTGTAGGTTGTTACTGTCCAATTTGTCGAATGATGCGAGTTTGGTCTTCGCAGACAGGCGCAGGATTCGCCAGGACTTGCTATCGATGGCGCCTTGGGCAACCGCCTTGTCTTCGTCGGTCATCGCGAGATCGAGGTCCATTTCATCGTCCATTATGCCTTTCATGAATGTGTCGGCGGAAGGCACGCTGTAACGATCGGATTCCTTGAGACGTTCAATGTTGGCAAGAGCTTCGCTATCCGAAAGGAACTTCAGGTCAAGGGAACCCATCGGTGAGGGCCTGAGACGCTTGTTGGCGTACATCTTGACGGCATTTTCGCGGTAGGTCGTGTATTCTGAGGACGAGATGGCCGGTCGTTCAATCAATGGACAACCTTCAGCTTTCCACCGCGCCCAATTCTTGTCCCGAGACAAGACCGTGTCCACCATGCGATAATAGAACTTGCCCTCGGGTCCTTGTTGCAGATAATCACCGATTTGCCTCCGGATATTGATTGCCCACTTCGTGTCTTCCTCATTCAAGGTGAAACCATAAAGTACTGACTTGTTAGTGGTATTCACCAGACGTGTCTTAGCCTGCGGCGTGAGAGAAAGCACAAAGTCGAGGAGAATCAAAGCCTGGACAAGCACGTGCCGTCGGAAAGCAGTATCGCTGACCTCTAGATCAAACAGATCCCGGCTCGTGAGATATTTGGGGTTGAAGCTGGTGGCAACTTCTGTGTCATCTGAGATGCGCTTGCGCTTGCTCGACTTGCGGGCATCTTCAGAAGCCCGGGAAGCACTGTGATTTTCCATTTCGGTGTTGATATTTCTGAATGCAGATAGAGTCGCTTCAAGACCAGCTTTGAAGGAGGCGAAACGTTCTGATTCGAAGATTTGGCTCGGCGAAGAGAAAGAGGCCTGGAGGCTCCAGAAGAGGGGGTAGAGCGCATCCAAGTCGACATTTTCTGACTTCTTTCCATCACCGGAGACCACCACTTTCGGCACACTGGCTGTTTTCTCGGAGATCGCTTCGGCATTTTCAGACCCGGTCGGTTCGGGCCCCTCGGTCATTGTGGTATCTTGCTGTTGATCATCGGTGGGTTTTTGGGTAATTTCGTCGAAAGTAGTGACATTTTCGGAATGGAATTCTCCGCGAAGGTTGACAGAGCTCTTGTCGCCAAGTGGGAAGCTCTGGAAGAGGTAGATGAAGACCCGGCCACAGAACACTGTATCTTCTGCGCGCGAGAGTCGACGAAGGAGCTCGTTACAGGATCGTAGGATAACCAAGCTTTTCTGCTTGAAGTGGTTCTGAAGAGAAAGTCAGCTTTGCGCCGCGCTCGGTTTGCAAATGTCGAGACAAACCTTGGTGTTTCTTTCCCTTCGAGACTCCAAGTAATCAAAGACTTTGCGGCAGCCATCAATGGTCTGACTGTCTAGAAGCTCCTCGATGAGCCAGAATATGAGACCAGGTTCGCATTGTTCTGATAGGCGTTAGAGGTGTGGAGTGTAGTGTAGACCGAAGATACTGACCGTTATCGGAGAAGATCGAGACGAGGTCAAGGAGGTTCCAGATCTGAATGAAGGCAGGGTCGTCAATTGAGGTCGAGGCCTATGATCCAGTAGTTAGCATGTCTTCCTAGACCCGCGCTTTAAGTCGGGCCAGCCGTACCAGAACGCGATAGAACTTCTCGCGGAACGCGATTTCGACGGCAGCAAGCCTGGTCTGTTGACTCAGTTGCTCAGTGGCCTTTTGATCCTCTGGAGAAAGCTGCCATGTTGGTTCGCCGAGCTGTGACTCGGACAATGGGGGTTCGATCTGCTTGTCGGGCTTGACTTGCGCGGCGCGGTCCAAGAGACTGTCGACTTGTCTCCGATAGACCTGAATATGGGCGATCTCCTCGTTCGCCATTTCGACTATTACTCCCGGGGTCGAGTAATTTGTCAAGGCGAAAGTGAAGTGATGAAGTGAAAGGGAGAGAGAGAGAGGAGGGCGGCTCGGCGGAGAAAAGCCAAGACTTTCGAAAAAGCTCCCCCAGCTCTAACTTCACTTCTCCGACTGCACCACTTCCCTAAACCACCAATCTCACAGGTTACGGGAATGACTGCGATGGCGCAGACTCTTGAGTCCAGGCCTACCGTCGTGGACTTTCGCGATGACAGCCCGTGGGTGCAACTAGCCAAGGCCCACTGGTTGGATGCGAAAGTCCGCAAGGCCAAACCCGATGTGATTAAGAAGCAATTGTGGGATCCTTTGGAGGCAGATGGCTTCAACAGTCGCTCCTTGTTGATCTTGGAGAACCTGAATATCCTCGAGAAGTAGGATTCCCACCTGCTGGTACCATATATCCCGACTAACCACGATTTCCAGGTTCCTATGGCCAACTTACACTGGCGATGCTTCCAATCACCACGTACTATTGATCGCATTGATAGTCAGCGTTAAGCACCGCGAACATCTGCCCATTTGGGATATCTTCTCCGATCGCGCCGATGACTTCTCCAACCTTTTCCACCGCATTCTCTCTATGAGCATCGACCCCTCCCTCCCAACACGCTCTCGACTCTCTATCATCTCCTTCATCATCAGCGCGTTCCAGTCACTTGAAAATGTACTGATCCGGAAAGAATGCGCGCCCCTGGTTTCGATATCGGTCTGGCACAACCTGGCAAGCGATGAAACGAGAAATCGCATCATTGCCAAAGCCCCGACGTTGAAGAAGACATGGAAGGCATCCGGGAAGAGGTACGAGGCAGGTGATGAAGCTGCCAAGGCGAAGATGCGCTTCGAGCGCTCATGGCTATACACAATGCTCCTGGACTTCATTCACAGGCTCAATGCACCCGAGCAGGCCGAGAATCTCCTATACTGCGAAAGATTCATGGAACTTTTGGTCGATCTCGAAAGCCAGCTTCCTACTAGGCGCTATGTGAACACATTGTTGAGGGACCTCAACCTTTTGGCTATCATTCGCCTTTCACACCTCTATCGTGAGCCTTCAAACGCTCTTCTGCGCGACTTCCACGGTCTTCTCAAGCATTTTGTTGAGTTCGCGATCGATGACTACACTGGTGAGGCTCTAACCCCACAGGGAGTCTACGATCGTCATAGCCAGGAGCTGGCTCAATTGCAAAGAACCTCGATGAAGTTGTTTAAAGACAAGCTCATGATCCTTGCGCTGTCTAACCTGGGCTCAATCGAGCAGCGATCTGATCTTGAAGGGCAACTGTCTTCGCTTGATGATTCAGAACTTCAGACACTGACCTCTGCCCTGGGATTCCGCACGGCTTATCCCAAGTCGGCGAACGTTAACCCAGACCGCCAGTTCTACCTAGAGGTTCTGGCATCATTCTATGAGCGCAAGATTCCGTTCCAAGAAGCTGTTGAAAAATTAAATCCGCTCCCCACGGAAGAGAACCTCTACGACCCAGCTTTACTCAGAAATGAGACATATGACGGATCTAGGCCTCTCGCGATCCCCAAATTGAACCTCCAATATCTCAGCCTTGGGGATTTCCTATGGCGCTCATTCCTGCTTTATCGCTCGGAAGCTTTCTTCCAGATTCGCAAGGATATGGAGTCTGTTGTCAAGCGCATGCAGCCCAAGGCTGTTCGTGACGGAAGTCTGAACTTTGAGGGCTTCTCCCGAATGGCAATCCCCATCTCCAAGCCTGCCATCATCGACGTCGCCCCTCCTAAGGTTGGCGCAACCAAACCGGCCTTCGTCCGGGCTGAGATCGCGATCGAGGTTGGAAGACTCGCAGACAATGTCAGGAAAGAATGGGATTCGCTTCGTCCTGATGACGTTGTCTATCTGCTGGCAGTTCAAGGACAGGGTGCGGAGGCTCCTCGGATGACCCATCTTCGAACCGCCGAAATTGTACAGGTTCTAGATGAGCAAGGTCGGGCATTGCGACAGAACTCCGGTCAGGCTAATGGACACTTGCCCAGGGCCCGATTGCGCCGTTTGATTGTTCATTTGGACGCGGCTGCCTTCAAGGCCGATCAGGATCAACAGGCTCAGGGCAAGCCCGATATCTATCCACTCATCAACATTGTTGCTCGACGCAAGGGTAGGGAGAATAACTTCAAGTCAATCTTGCAGACCATGCAAAGGCTTATCGTCTCGGACATGACACTTCCATCTTGGCTTCAGGACATCTTCCTCGGCTATGGAGATCCCGCTGGTGCGCAATACACACAACTGCCCAACCGGCTCCGGAAGGTTGACTTCCGTGATACACTTTTGGATTGGTCTCATTTGATTGAGAGTGTTCCGGGCATTGAACCCTCAGGTTCCGAAAATTCAAGCTTCGGTCCTCCGTATGTTCTTGAATACGATGACCAAGAGTCAGCTGCCGAGCCACCTGCTCCCAAAAAGCGACGCCGCGAGCAACCCCAGGAAGCCTCTACTCCTTCCACTGTGCGCGTCTCCTCATACAAGCCACCTAACCCGGGTCCCTATCCCGTTGACGCTCCCAGGTTGAACCAAGTGCGGTTCACTCCTGCTCAAGTTGAGGCAATCGCGTCAGGAACACAGCCAGGACTCACTGTCATCGTGGGACCTCCTGGTACTGGAAAGACTGATGTCACGACACAAATTATTAACAATATTTATCACAACTTCCCTAATGAGCGGACATTGCTCATTGCCCACAGCAATCAAGCACTCAACCAACTCTTCCAGAAAATCATCGCTCTTGATATTGACGAAAGGCATCTCTTGCGTCTCGGTCACGGCGAGGAAGAATTGGACACCGACTCTAACTACAGCAAGCATGGACGAGTCGAATCTTTCCTTGATAACCGTACCGCCTATCTATCTGAAGTGATGCGTTTGGCTGCATCTCTGGGGGTCGAGGGTGCACATGGAAACTCATGCGAGACTGCTGGTTACTTCAACACAGTCTATGTGCAGCCAACTTGGGCGAAGTTCTGGGATCGAGCCAAGTCTGAGGAGGTATCAACTGAGGACATTGTTACATCTTTCCCCTTCCATACATATTTCTCAAATGCCCCCCAGCCGCTCTTCTCCACTGAAGCCACAAAGGAGTCCATCCTTGACATCGCTTCAGGCTGTCAACGGCACATCGCCAAAATTTTCTCTGAGTTGGAAGACATTCGACCCTTTGAGATTTTGAGGCAACCGCGAGACAAGGCAAACTATCTTCTGGTGAAGGAGGCTCGGATCATCGCAATGACCTCGACGCATGCCGCTATGCGCCGCCAGGAAATTGCCGATCTTGGCTTCCACTACGATAACGTGGTCATGGAAGAAGCCGCCCAGATCACCGAAGTCGAGAGCTTTATTCCCAACGCTCTGCAGAATATGCAAAGCGGCGAACTTCCTCTTAAGCGTGTCGTTCTCTGTGGTGACCACTACCAGAACTCACCGGTCATCCAAAACATGGCTTTCCGCCAATACGCTCACTTTGAGCAGAGTCTCTTTTTGCGACTGGCACGTCTTGGTGTTCCTGTGATCAACCTTGACAAGCAAGGACGTGCAAGATCGAGCATCGCAGAGCTCTTCCGCTGGCGATACCAGGAGCTTGGCGATCTGCCCGTCGTGCAAACCGCCCTCGAGTACCAGAAAGCCAACGCTGGATTCCAATTCGACTACCAGTTCATCAATGTTCCTGACTATCAAGGGAATGGAGAGCGCGAGCCGACTCCCCATTTCATCCAGAACCTAGGTGAGGCAGAGTACGCAGTTGCCATGTACCAGTACATGCGACTGCTTGGCTACCCAGCCTCCAAGATCTCAATCTTAGCTACGTATGCTGGCCAAACGGCTCTGATTCGGGATGTGTTGAGCCACCGGTGCGGAAAGAACCCCATGTTTGGAATGCCCAAGATCGTAACGACGGTCGATCGTTATCAGGGAGAGCAGAATGATTGTGAGTTTCCCCTTTCTCTTTACAGCCCGATACTGATACTAATAATCAACAGACGTAATCCTCTCCCTCACCCGTACCCGCAGCGTCGGCTACCTCCGCGACGTCCGTCGTCTAACGGTAGCGCTGTCCCGCGCCCGACTGGGTCTATACATTCTCGGTCGTCGCGAAGTCTTCGAATCATGCTACGAGCTCAAGCCAGCCTTCGATCTGCTCCTGCAACGCCCAGACAAATTGATGCTCTCCCCTGGTGAGATGTTCCCTTCATCCCGGGATGCCAGCGCCGCTGTTGAGGGCACCCCCATGGAAAGTGTGGAGCATCTTGGTCAATATGTCTTTGAAATGACTCAGGCTAAGGTCAAGGCTATGGGTGATGGAGATATTGTGATTGAGGATGCTGCGCCGGTCGAAGAGGACGGTCTTTTGGAGGATGAGGATGAGCTTATGGGTGCTGATGAGGATGAGGATATTGATATTGTATGAACTACTTAACTCCAGGGCTACTTGCGTGAATGTTTATCTCACTCAGATATAAAAGAGTTGATACGAATTGCATGTTTTCGTCTATAGATGTATCAATGCAGCAGACGGAATTGGGATGGCTTCTCCCTGCTCAGTGGCTCGTACTTTAGTTCCTCTGCCCAGGTATGGACGATGCCACATAGAGACCTGACACAGAGACCTGAGGGGTATTCCAATCTGCGGGTGTTCACCAAATAGGTCTTGCACTTAAACATCAACTCTCAATTTTCAACCCCATTTTCACATATGTATGTTTAGAAATGTATCCCTGGTTTGGAATGACTTCTCCCGTATCACCTGATCTAATTCTTTTTTCTTGTGGGCTAATGAGGTCCTGTGTCCAAGTGCCAGTAAGCAGGGGTCTGAAACTTCCAAGGTTAGGTACTCAAGTACTTAAGTAGATGCCCGCAGTAGGTAGGAAAAGGCTGGAAGAGACCGATATACGTAAACAGCATCAATTCTCTGCGGGTAAAGGCCTCATCAGAGCGGTGAGGGACTCGCCTCGATTCATATTTCTCGGCCTCCAAGGCTAATGGGTTTTTACTTATATGAGCTCAAACTTAGAAGAGGGTGTAGCGTTTCCATGCTTAAGTATCCGAGCGTAAATATATATCAGGCAATTTGGAAGATTTTCGAAGCCAGCCATTTTCAGTACACTTATTTCCACGGGTGTTACTTACTTCTAAAAGTTAATTAGCATCCGTGCATTTAAGGGATTTGTCCAAAGTTGTACTGGCTCCCGGGTCAACTGTAGAGTTAGACAACAATTTTTTATAGACACCTCACCTACTAGGGCAAATGAGAATCCATTTATAATCCTAACACTCGACCTGAATGTTCATAGTTGGGCCTGTGGTTTAGGGGTATAATACCCGCTTCGCATGCGGGGGGTCCCGGGTTCAATTCCCGGCGGGTCCACGTTTTTTTTCATCTTATTTTTACTTAGTTCAGACCATATGCCCTGTTTCGCCTTTTTTTATTCTATATCCATGGTAATGCATCTACTTCTAAAGTAGAGTATCAGTAAAAATAATGTATAGTATATACAAAGCTGGCCTATGAACTAGGACTACCAGTTGTCAAGTTGGCCGGCTTAACACGAATGATCTCGAAACCACCTTCGTCTCTGTCCTCACCCTTCTGGGGCCAGAGAATCTGCCGCATCAATATAGCCCGAACCATCATATAGCACACAAAGAAGTACATCAACAGCAGAGGAAGGATCATCACGCATCCAATGATGTTAATAGGTTTGCAAGAGAAAGCCTTGCCAATGGCAAAGGTAGCAGTGATCAAGGCAGTGTTGGGGAAAATAAACGAGAACCAAGTCATGGAGAAGACCATTCGCCCATGGCCGATGGCCGACCAATGCGCAGCACTAGCAATGATGAAGAAGAAGATCGCCAATCTGGCCAGGTTAGCAAGGTGAACAGATGGCACGGAAGGAAAGTCAAACTCACCCCCATAACCAAAGACAAGAGAAATCAGCCACAATCTTTAGCACGTCGGCGGCCAGCGCTCCATTGCCCATGAAATCCGCAGGGAAGGACCTCTTTGCCTCAGCGGCCATGTTTACAAGTCCCGCCACTGTGAATCCACTAGGTCCCACCGAAACAAACATACCAGGACGAATGTTCTCTCTCGGCAGTTTCTGCGTCATAAGTCTGTAGATGAAAGCCGAGTACACCATCAACGAAACCAAGAACCCAACGCCCTGAATCGTCGTCCCGCCAATAATGACAGGAAGCGAATCTGCCGGCTCGAGCTTCCCACTCAGAACACCCGCATGAGGACCGATAATAAGCATCGGGTAAGCGGGGAAGATCCAGATCGGAGTCATTTGAGCGATGGTGAAGGTCTGCGTAGACCATAGAAGCAGGTAAATACCCGCAGAGAACATGACTGCGAGAGCGGCGTCAATCCAGAATAGAACGCAGACTGCGCGCATCAGCCACGGGCCTGTATTTTCAGGACCGTATTGAGATATGTTAATCAGGATTGTCCCGAATGAGACGATGGAAGCAGGCACGAAGAGAGATTCTGTCGGATGCATAAATGATGCCTTGAATGTGTATGGGTAATAGTAGAATCGGACGAGCAAAAGAGCCCAGATGATTAAGTATGCTGCAATATTGATCAGGAAGACCACAATGCCAATAGTTTGCAGTCCTCTGAACTGGAAGGGAACTGGTATGCAAGTCAGCCACGACAACAGCTGCTTAGTACTGTCACAAACCTTGATATATAACATTCGCCAACCCACCCGTCGCCATGGTAAGAGTAAAATAAGCCCAAGTAACATGTCGAATACGCTTTTTCCAACTCATCTCGCCTGAGACGGTGCGTTTGAGCCCAAACAGCCCCAGCCCATTATGTTCATGACAGGCATTATTCTTTGGTTTTTCAGAGGCTACGGTGCCCCGCGTTGAAGCTCGATTTAGGGCCGCCTCTAGCGCACTGGAATGAGCTTCGCGCACTTGGGATGGGCTTCCCTCGGTGGCACCTAGGATTGAGAGGGCACGTTCTGCATCTTCGATGGTGGGGGTTCGGTATCCATCTTCGCCTGGTGAGCGCATGTGCCGGGGTAAATCTTCCGTGGACATTTTAAGTTGCTGCGACTGCCCGTGTTTTAGAGAAGTTATGGCTGGTGGCCGTGATTAGCAGTCGCTTGTGGCGACGCTTTAGTATGGCTGTAGATAAGGCTGCATGGGTCCACGGGTAGGAGAGGGTGAGAATTATCACGGGAGAAGGTTTGGAAAAAAAGTTGGAACCCGGGATTGACAGTCAGCCCTGTTTAAATGAAGATTGAGGTTGGCCCAGAGAGAAGACGGCTTCGGGAGGATCGTCGGTCATTAATGTGGGGACACGACAAGTACTACGAGTAAGAGTCTATGATCATCACTGGATTTGCCCAGGGGGGCTTAGGTGTGCGGTATGACGGCAATTCATGGAGAGTAGTGGATGAATTAATATAAATGAATATGTCAATTCCTAGGCAAGTGAAGTAACAGGATATAAGATAAAACAGTATGTCATTTGCCAAGTTTGCTTCCCGGGAATCGGCACACGAACTACGGGTGCTAAGTACTGGAGAGGATTGCGAATTCGGGAAAAACTACTTAAGTATCTGGATCTACTCGCATACATAGTGCTAACTAGTTGTGGGTAATATTTAAGTAATACTTAAGTAGTACCTGAAGATCGGATCAAAGTTTGAATTTACATAGACCTGTAGACATACTCCGTAGAAATATGAAGTACTCCTAAGACCTTTAATAGTAAACATAACCAATACATTCTAAAGTTGCTCGCCATGTGATTCGAACGGAGTAATAGTATACGTAAGTATGTATGTCGTTGGCAATTGACGATCCAGCATAATTGTGCGTCTATCGGTATGTGCTATTGAGTTTATTGTATAATATCAGAAGCCTTGCATACCGAAAAACGATCTACAATATCATCTCTATACACATACAGAGTACATATGCATGCTCGTTGATTACATACACTTAAGTACTTGAACTTTTTGACTACCCGTATTTGTTTCTCCAGAGCTGATTGTTACCTACCATCGCAACTTGAATATACAGGTCCAAATATTCAGAGACGAGGGCGTCAACCAGAATGCATAAGGCAAGCATAAGAAATCGCCAGCCGATCCTATTTTCTACTTAAGTATAGGATCTTCTAGAATATGAGTTCCCTGTATATATGAAGTTCTACTTTTTCAGACCCATGATGAAACATTGCCAAACACATAATTACGCTGGTTTATATTACCAGCCATAACCAAAATCATGACATGAGCAAATATACCGTAAATTACATTACTCTCTGGACTAGCCTCCTCATGAGCTTCGAGAGCCGAGGTACCCTTCGTCTCCACTGCTTGTCGCATATAGTTTGCGCAAACACACTGAGCTCTTTCAATCCCACCACTTGAGCAACTTTAGAAGTTCCTTCCAATATGCTGGGAGTAACAGACGCTCGCCGATCTGTCCTAATTACGGGGTAGGTGTCCTGTGATCCCAGCGTCCGACATAACTAAAATCTCAAGATGTTCGCCTGGTGGTATCGGAAATTCGCTGGCGCGCGAGTTCCACCGCAATGGACTTCGTGTGCTGGCTACTGCTCGTGATGCCGCGACTATCTCGGATCTCGCAGATCTCGGCATTGAAACCCTGAGTCTAACAGTTGACGACCCGGCCAATGTCAAGGAGTGCTTTGCAGATGTTGAGAAGAGGCTTGGGGATAAGGGTCTCGATTATTTGGTCAACAATGCGTGAGTGCCTGAGACCAGATCCCAACCAGGTTGACAACTAACGAAAGACAGTGGTCGAAGTACGTTCGCCGAAGCACTGTTCTGAGACACAGATCCAGAAGCAGCTACAGAAAAGATACTAATTGACACAGACTACACCGTTCCTGCTATGGAGGTTGAGCTCGCCGAGGTTCGCCAGACCTTCGAGACCAATCTTTTCGCGGTCATTACGATGTGCCAGACATTCCTGCCCTTACTGATCAAAGCCAAGGGCACGATTGTCCAAATTGGCTCCGTGGCTGGTGTGAGTACCCTCACTGTACTCTGTAGCGACGAACCTCCAATCCCACTAACTCCCACCAGATCATCCCCTACGTCTTCGGCTCCGTCTACAATGCCTCCAAAGCAGCCCTGCACTCATTCAGCGATACACTTCGCGTGGAGCTGGCTCCATTCGGGTATGATCCCCCTCCCCTACCGGTTCGTCCGTACGGAGTACTGACCCCACAGGGTCCATGTCACTACTATCGTGACGGGTGGCGTTCAATCCCGCATTGCCCGCACCGACCGCACCTTGAAGCCGGGATCGTTGTATACCCCGATTGAAGCGGAGTATCTGACTCGTGTGAAGCACAGCCAGCATAATGCGATGCCGCACGAGAGTTATGCTCGGAGTGTGGTTTCGCAGGTGTTGTATGGATCGGCACCTTGGCGTTGGCTGCCGTGGGCCCGGGGGCATAAGTCGTGGATCTGGGAGGGTCATGCTAGTTGGTTGATTTGGCTGTTGTCGGGGGGCTGGGCTTGGTCGGGACTGTTTGGTCGGCTCATGACTAAAATGTTCAAACTATGGAAGATCAAGGCTGCCAAGTAGGGTAGCAGAGCCGTCCATAGTCGACAGACAGACAAGTGACAAGCAGCAAGAAACAAGCAGCAGCGCAAAAGAATAAAAGAACACTAGAATAGCTCGAGAATTAGCCAAGAATCGAAGGAGTAGAAGAAGAACTGCCGTCAACAGGAACCCGATGATATTCGCGCACCCGAGTCCGATGCTGAGGTAAGCCCAATACCGGGCTGTGATTGGCCAAAGCACCCGGTTTTACCGCGACGCAATGTCATCCCGAGAGAGACGAAAAGCTGTTCTCCTGTAACCCTTTAAACACCTTATTCCCCCAGGGCTTCTGATTTTACCCTCTCCTCTCCTCCCTTTTCCCTTTTAATACATCATGTTCAAGCTTGCCCGTGGTCGTCCCGTTGCCGCGGCTTTCAAGGCTGCGACGGTGAGTGTTGGTCCGCGCCAGAGGTATATTGAGAACCCTGAACTGATGCCATTAATAGCAACCCGCCGTTCAGAGCCGCCTGGCTGTGCAGAAGCGTAACCTCTCCATTCACGAGTACCTTTCCGCCAGACTCCTCAAGTCGGTACGTGGACCGCGTTCCCCCCTTCGGTCGCCCGAGAAAGACAGAAAGAAAAAAAAATCTGGAACACCGTTTACTGATCAACAATCTAGTACGGCGTCGGTGTCCCCAAGGGAGAGGTCGCCAACACCGCTGAAGAGGCTGAGTCTATCGCCAAGTCCATTGGTAAAGCCAAGCTCAACCCCCTCTGTCGAAACGCGATTGCTAAGAAAACACAGGTGGTGATGATCTGGTCATTAAGGCCCAGGTTCTCGCCGGTGGCCGTGGTAAGGGTACCTTCGACAACGGTCTGAAGGGTGGTGTTCGCGTCATTTACTCGTGAGGAAATCCAGACAGCCTTGAAACCCGCGCATTGAGACTAACAGACACCAGTCCCACCGAGGCCAAGATGTTCGCTGGCCAGATGATCGGTCAGAAGCTCGTCACTAAGCAGACTGGCGCCGGTGGCCGTATCTGTAACTCCGTCTACATTTGTGAGCGCAAGTTCGCCCGCCGTGAATTCTACCTCGCTGTCCTCCTGGACCGCACTACCCGTGGTCCCGTCATCGTCGCCTCTTCCCAGGGTGGTATGGATATCGAGGCTGTTGCCAAGGAGAACCCTGAGGCCATCATCACTACCCCCATTGACATCCACACCGGTGTCACTGACGAGATCGCCCGCACCATCGCTACCGACCTCGGCTTCTCCCCCCAGTGCATTGAGGAGGCCAAGTCCACCATCCAGAACCTGTACAAGTGCTTCATGGAGCGCGATGCTACCCAGCTCGAGATCAACCCCCTCTCCGAGACCTCCGACCACCAGGTTCTGGCTATGGATGCCAAGCTTGGATTCGATGACAACGCCGAGTTCCGTCAGAAGGAGGCTTTCTCTTGGCGCGATGTTTCCCAGGAGGATGCCGAGGAGGTCAAGGCCGCTGAGTACGTTCTTGAACAATCTCATATTCGGCAATTAAATACTGACTGAATTCTAGGCACGGTCTTAACTTCATCAAGCTCGATGGTGACATTGGCTGCCTCGGTAAGACATAAAACACCCTTGGAGCTATCAAACAAAGTACTAATTAATTCCAGTCAACGGTGCCGGTCTCGCCATGGCCACCATGGACATCATCAAGCTGAACGGCGGCTCCCCCGCCAACTTCCTCGATGTCGGCGGTGGTGCCACCCCCCAAGCCATCAAGAGCGCCTTCGAGCTGATCACCAGCGACCCCAAGGTCTCTGCCGTCTTCGTCAACATCTTCGGTGGTATCGTCCGCTGCGATGCCATCGCCCAGGGTCTCATCAACGTCGTGCAAGAGATGAACCTCCGCACCCCCATCATCGCCCGTCTGCAGGGTACCAACATGGAGCAGGCCCACAAGCTCATCAACGAGTCTGGCCTGAAGATCTTCTCCATCGAGGACCTCCAGACTGCTGCTGAGAAGTCTGTCCAGTTCTCCAAGGTTGTTAAGATGGCCCGTGACATCGACGTCGGTGTCGAGTTCACCCTCGGTATCTAAGCTAATATAGAGCATTTTCTTTGTTTGAGGCGATCTGAGAATACGCCACGATCATTTCATGGGATGCTTGGGCGCTAGTTCTCTGTGTCATTTATTTTCCTTTTTCACTGTATTCTTGAGTGTTTATGATCTATATCAGTTCCTAATTGGAATGTGTGCAGTTGGAATAGACTGGCTTGTACTCTGTAGGGCTTCATGTATGTCTGTACTTTATGCATTATAAATGTGTATTGACCATTTGCCAAGAGCATACAATAGAGATGAAGGGACTAGATGAAAACATTAGACTGTAATACATTCAAATATCAGTCAATCAAAAGTAACGTGCAAGTGAAGTACATTGTGACGGCAATGTCCCCCACTGGATGTAGGGAAAGGCTGAGCTTATATCTGGGCTCTCAACCTCCCAACCTCAACTTCTCTTACCTACTTCACCTCCTCTACATTGTCATCTCTTCTTTTGTCCTTGTCCTACTTCTAGGAATCGGCCTATTCTCCCATTTACATCCCAACCGAATCTCTACTCCAATCCATCTCTCGACATCTCTTTCATCTTTCATCTACCTAGTCTTGACATTACTTCAATCCTTCAACATCTTCCATTCCATATCCCATCTTCTACTGCAACCTCATTACAACCCTTCGTCCACCACCAACTCGCTTTGTTGAGTGACCCTGGAAGCCGTCGAGAAGTGTATGTGAAACCAAGAAGTACTCACCACCACTAACTTCTACCAGTATTCGAGGAATATGGCAGAAGCTCACAGCCAGCAAGCTCCATGAGATGAAAGACTACGTATCCTCCGTCAGAAAAGTGATGTCTTTGGACAACCGCCCTTGAAGTCAAAGTTGCCTTGAGGCCGCCCACAACATTGGAGATATTGCCAAACTGCGACGGGTAAGATTCCCACTGACCATCAAGACCCTTACTAACAAATTCTAGGTTTCCAAGAACTGGACGGAAACGCTGTCCGTCTCACTTCTACCGAGGATGGTCCCGAAAAGCCGAATTGGCAGATGGCCGGCGCTGGAGAGTACGTTTCTCTCGACATCTCTTTCATCTTTCAGAGTGGAAACCGGCCGTCCAGGAATTGTGGCCTGGAGATCGAGAGGCGGTTCAGCGAGGACACCACTTGAGCATATGCCAAAGGCATGTCGCCATGATCGACGGCCATGTCGTTGTCCTGGCTGTCACGCCTGGCGAAGAGCACAGAGTTCACGAAAATAGAGAGACACTGAGGGAAATAGGCATTGCTGGAAAGCTTTTCGTTGGGGGGACTGCGCTTTGTACTTATTTGACAGACTGGTCTTGGGTCGAGAGGAAAGACACCCGACCAATATCAGTATATGTGCTTATCTATAGATGTGTTCAGTAAATGAGCTGCCTGTGTAAGCATTTCTACCTAGGCTGCTGGTGGGACAGTATGTCGCATTTAATATGTATTGGACGCGCATTCCATTTGCACAGTTTACTGAATATTTAGAACTAGCAACCTTGGGTCCTTGGTGTGAAAATACATTGGTGCAGTAAATGTCTACAGGTCTGATTCTAATGTGAGAGGTACGGAGATGAGCGCTGGGTATTGCCGTTTGGGGTTCCGCGCAACTCGTGGAATTTTTCATAAACTCATCTCCCATTGGAATTTTCCATTCTTGATTCTTTTCTTCACTTCTACTTTTACTTCGCCATGGAGACAGACATAGCGCAGGCCATTGGACAGTTCAAGTCCCTCAGCCATACTCTAAGCCGGCGAAAAGTGTATGCAAAATGGAGAAGCATTCAAACACCACTAACTCACTATCAGGCTGGATGGGATTCTGGAATCACTCGCCACAAACGAACTCCATGAAGTGAGACATCGGATTCTCGCCGTTACATTCCAACGAGACATCTTTGGTCAGCTACCTGTAGAGCTGATATGTCTTGTGGCGTCGCATCTGGACGTGAAAGACATTTTCAATCTTCGGAGGGTAAGATTGCATCCAATGATCAACACGAATCTGACTAACGAGTCTTAGGTCTCCAGACTCTGGAAGGAAGTGCTCTCGGTGCCAGTTCTCTTGACGACAGTCTTCAAAAACAAACTCGGAAAATGGCCCGCCCCAAACAGCTCAATTGCTGGACTTGAGTCAAGTCTGAAGATGCGATGGCGCATGGAAAATGGCCGACCTGCAGCTTTGGCCTATTTACTGGCTCAGCAAGGTCTCGGGCCTAGTCAAAGTGCGTATTGTAAAGGAATGCTTGTTTTCGCCAAATTGGACGCCGGCTTGGTCCCCAGCTCGGACTACATCAAGGTGCTGGATGTGAGAACCGGCGCAGAGAAATCGATATATATCGAGAACAGAGAAGAACTTCTGAGCATTGAGATCTCAGACAGACTAATCGCCGCAAACGCATTAACTGAACAAGGGTCAAGGTATGTATGGTGAATTTTCGCTTCGGGCACACTAAAATTCTTAAAAAGCATCTGCTACATATGGATTATTGAAACCGGGGAGCGAAAATCATTTCCTCTAGACTTTTAAGGGGACCCGCTAGCCAATGGCAACTCAGTCATAGTGTATGATGATGAATCCGGCGAGGTTGTGCATTTCTGCTTCATCTCTGGAGTGATTCGCACATTCCACCTGGAGCACCCAGTTTTGAACCTGTCTCTCCATGCAAACGGCGACTTTTCCACAATCGAAATATCAATGGATATTGAACAGTTCGAACATGACAGTCCCAGCAGATATCCAGCATGGATAAGACAAGAACATCCGTTGCACCCAACGAGGTTTTCACCCGATGGCGATGGTTTCCGCTCTTCCTCAGCCCGACCCTTTACCATGCGGTCCTTTTTACCCTCGTGGGGGGGGGGGGGGGGGGGAAAATAAAAAAAAAAAAATTGATAAAAAAAAAGAGGGGTCAATGTTGGTGAAAAAAAAAAAAAAAAAGGAAAAAATAAAAAAAAAA